CACTCCTACAGTGAATAGTGTTACTCACAGCAGTGCATATGCTTTTAACGGAAAAAAGAGCAGGTGGTATTGCTCGTAAACTTCTAAATTTAAAAACAATATTTACTTGCTTTAATGACATTTTGTTCTATCGTCTGACTGAAGGAGAACAAGAAACTCTGCTCTTTGGCTTGTGACTTTGTACTTAACATAAATTTGAATAGTATATAACATTGATTTTTGCATTAGAGACACCCCTTCCATTAGTATCATTTTCAAGATTTCAAGATTTGTTATTCAAAAATCTGAAAATAAGCAAATTTACTTAATTATTAGAATTACAGTAACTTCGACCTGCATTACTTTCGAAGTACTACTTTAATTATTTAAATAATAAACCTTTTTTATTTTTAACTAATTGTGCATGGTTTCAAATTGAATCACAACAATTAAAAACGTAAAAAAAGCATTAAAAACGCCAAGAATTGTTTTTCGATTTAGGTCGAAGTATCTAGCAGCTGTAAAGTGAGGAAAATTGTCGTTTATTACATTTATCAGCTTTTTTAATTCTTCAACTTCTTTTTCTCCATCAAAATTTGCTACAGTTTGATACGCTACCATTCGCATGGCTTTAACTCTTTGCTCTGTTAAATCACAGATGAAAACACCATTAAATGTCCCGACCTTAAAATTTCGATAAATATAAGAATGAGTATTTAACAATATTTGAAAACTAACCAAATGCCATGTAATAAACATTATTCGGTGTATAATTATCGGAATGGAATTTCGCTTTCCGGAGATTAAATACTGCATATATGCTAATGGTTGAAGAGCAGTGAATCCCATCGAGAGTAAGAGAAGCCAGGCAAAAGTGTTGTTGAAAATTTCTACACATTCTGCTAATGCACAAAAATCGCTCTTCAATTTTTTGAAAGACAATTTGTGTAATCGATTACATCGCATCTTCAAAAGTTTGCACATAGTTTTGGATAAGTCAGTAAATCCATTCAGAATCAGACTTAAAAATTCATAAATCAAATAGTAAACAATAAACTGAGCATAAAATTGAAAATATTCCACTGCATACAATTTAAAGAAATCAACGCCCATTGTTTGAGCCCCAATATAAGTATAGTACGTCAATCTTACTACGAAAATAACATTTGTTAAAAGAAAAGGAAAAAACCAAAATAAATCTCCCTTCTCATTGCTATTTTTAAGATATTTCAAAATATTGATAAATCTGTTCCATTGATGTCTCTTCGTGGCTGTTATTATAATTGTAGAAATATTAAGAATAAACAAAACTGTGTCCGTAGCTACTTGAA